TGATTATTAAATAGTAGTTAGTAAATAATGTGATATTATCATTTATTAACTTCACAACTATTTTTTCTACAAATGCATCCAAGCATAGATAATTATTTCAAATCCGCATCAATAACCTTATTAAAGATACTAATATGCTATCTTTTTATTTATCAGACATCTTTTATTTAAGGAGTGTTAATCTACATTCTTTTTTATTAAGCAATCCACCTGTACTTGGAAAAATTTCTAAACATTATAAAAGTGCAAGATGGAGAGGATAACATATTTTATAGATCGAATCTGATGACAGTATATCATGCAATAACAAAAACTAAGATCAAAGATTTGAATAGTATCAAAATGTAAATTATAAGAAACACTCAAGGAATACCAGAGATGAGATCTAAATTAGTCAAGGCATTTAATAACTTCTACTACATAAAACTAAGTGATGATGAATTTGAAAAACATTTAGATCGAGCAATATCACAGATTCCAGAAGACTTTAAAGATGAATAAGCTCTAATAGATTATACAGCAACTCACCAAATCAAAGATTTACCGAGGGAATCAATCTAATATAGAATTATGGTAAAGCAAGATTTTAACTCAGAACAATCAGCAGTAGTCTTTGTATTTTATCACGGATTAACAGATGGAGTAGGATTTTTGAATTTATTTTGTGCCTTACAAGATGAATTTGATTCTTAAAATCTACCATTTGTTAGAAAAAGATCACTTAAAGAAAGCATTAGAAGATATATCACTTGCATTTTTGGTATCTTTATTTACATAAAAAACTAACCTAAAAATTATCAAGATTCACAATTATGTTAGATTGTAATGAGTAATAAACCTATGACTACTATTTCAAAAGATATGAAAGTCGATTAACTCAAGTAAAAAATATGTAGAAGATTTGGATGTTCTATCAATGATTTACTTACTGCTGCTAGTATCATTGCGATGAGAGATTACTGTCTAGCAAATAATATTACAGATCATACTTTATTTCAAGGAATGATCGCTGTAAATCAGCGCTCTTCTATACTAAAAAAATAAGACATCAGACTTCACAATAACTTATGGGCTAGTCAATATTATATAAATTTTGCAAGCTTGCTAAACTCAAAATCCCTGAATCTAAGTTTAGATTAGCAATTTTAAGAAGCATTAAGTTTAGAAAAGGATTTGTTTTAAACTCTTAAAACTTAAGATACTGGTCTAAGCGAGTTGATAGCATTAAAGATGATTGCTTATTTTATTCCTGATATAGTCATAGAGAAAATGATAGATTAATCACTTATTCCAGTGAGGAAAGCTTGGT